GGGGGGGGGGGGGGGGGGGGGCAGTAATAAAACATTGCTTTTTAGTTTTCAAAACCATTTAAAGGTCACCCCAAAATGAAATTTCTGTCATAATTTTTCACCCTCAAGGTATTCCAAACCTGTTTGAGTTTCTTTCGTCTGTTTCTTTTTTAAGAAACCCACCAAAATTTGGTTGCTAAGGAGTTGCTTTGTGGTTGCTAGGGTGTTCTGGTGCATTGTTGTTGTTAACTAAAAATAAGTCGATAAAATCTGATTTGATAAAATCAGTATTAAGAAGTTACTTAACCTACTTCCTACTTACTAGGAACTAAACATAAAAGAAACTTGGAAAATTAGAAAGTCTGCCTTAGAAATGTCTAATTCTACTTGCTTTAATTGAAAAACTAAAATTAAAGTTATGTATAGAAATGTTTTTTTTAAAACAATAATAAAAAATAATAAAGCCAAAACCACATAATAAAATGACCAAAATATGTAAATATAAAGAAATCAAAGCTCATTTAAAATATAAATAAATACAATAATAACATATAAATAATACTAAAATAACACTGCCTGGGTGGTTGCCAGGGTGCTGCATTCCTGTTGCTATGACACTTACCCAAAGAGCCATAGCAACTGGAATGCAGCGCCCTGGCAACCACCCAGGCAGTTGCTAAGGTCTATGGTTGCTAGAGTGTTCTGGGTAAGTGACATAGCAGCCGGAATGCAGCGCCCTGGCAACCACCCAGGCAGTTGCTAGGGAGTTGCTAAGGTCTATGGTTGCTAGAGTGTTCTGGGTAAGTGCCATAGCAACCGGAATGCAGCGCCCTGGCAACCATCCAGGCAGTTGCTAGGGAGTTGCTAAGGTCTATGTTTGCTAGAGTGTTCTGGGTGTTTGTGTGTGTGTGTGTGTGTGTGTTGCTAGGCTGGTTGCTGAGGTGTACCAGGTGTTTGTTTGTTTATGAGATGTATGATGAGTCACACACTGAAGTTTAATACTAAGTGTAAGTGCTAGCGATCTAAATAAACCTCTAACCCGACGTTTGAGAAGTAGTAATAGCGATGCGTGAGCGAGTAAATGCTAGGATGTTTAGAGTTGTTTTAGTTTTCAGACGGGAAGAGCCCCACGGATCTGCTTTCTGAGTGCAGACGCAGGCTGAGCGAAGTCTGAATGACGCAGAGAGAGCTGCCACATTCCCTGGAGAGCTCGCCGTATGGCATTACAGACTGGCCCGTGAAACACGAGCGCCGTATAAATTAACAGCCATTTCTCAAGGGGCTTTTTCTTAAGAGGGTCAGCAGATCTGCCAAACGCCCGCGACTCTCTTCACTCTGACCGATACACATTACAGCTGCAACGTTTGGCCTGGATTTCAACCCTCATGTGCTGTTTTAGATTCACTTCAATACTTTTCCATTTAGATCTTCTTCAGTGACCCAATACACTGTAAACACGATATGATAAATAAGCCATGGTAACATGTTTTTGCATTACTTTGACTCATCAAATCAATTTACCAATTCTAACTTAATTTTTTAAGTTATACGAGATTCAAAAAAGCCAGCTTAATATAACTGAAGTTAAAATGACTTATATAGTAAATTAAATTATTTAAAAAAGAAACTGATGGATATCATTGCATATTAGTTTTTAGCCTATACTGAACATGCAATTTTCAGAAAAGTGCTATCCAGAGTAGAAATTTTGCTTTATAGCAAAATCACAATACAATAATACAATAGAAATATAATAAAATCCAAATAGACTGGGCAGACTCATTTATAAAATCTGAAAATTCCATTTACAGCCCAAACAAAACCAAGTTGTTGTTTTTTTTGTTTTTTTTTAAAGTTGAACTCTTGCTTATCATGAGTTCTCATAAATGTAGAAAAAGTCATAAAATATCAGTCTTATAGTTTAATGTTGCGGTACGTTTTTGAGTTTATAATTTTTTGTCTGTTTATAATGCTATAGAAATTACTTTGTATGTTAAAACATCTGTTTTGTTCACTTAAAATACAGTTTGTATCATAATTTTTTCATTGCATCTACATTTAAAACTGATTTTGTTCTCTTTTTGAAAGAGGTCAATAGTAGTTTAAATGCATTTGTGCAGGATTTTATATGTATTTTAAATATTATATATATATATATATATATA